TCTAAAATACAGTTAATGAATTTACTCTTCTATGTCAACCCATGTCTATATCAATGCTGCGGTTTTTATTCCATTGGTTAACAAAATGAAATCAATCAAATATTTTCTTTGAACTTTCTGCAGTCATGACTATTTTAGTGAGATGACCAGAAAAGGCTTAAATAGGACTTTGTCAGGTCAACTAATAATCATCATCACTGGAGAGGTAAGTAATGCAGAAAATAACTGATAGCAATGATTCTGCCTACACTAGACCTAAAATAAACCTCCACTGAACTCTGCAAGGTAAATGGACAGATTCACCTTGAGGTCCTCAAAGAGAAATGTCAAGAAATCAAATCAGCAAAGGGTTTTTAATAAATGATTCCCTATAAAAAGGAAGAGAATATAGTGGTAAGAGGATAATGCTGGAGACAAGGTCCTGGGCTTGAAGGCCCACATCACCACCCGTTAGCTGTGACCTAGAGCAACTCAATGAACGCTTCTGCATCTCAGTTTCCTCATCTATAGACAAGGGACAAGAGCAGTACCTATCTCCTAGAACTGTGAGAATTACATTGCTTTGTATGTAAAGTTTATGTAAAATACCTTAGATCTTAGATATGACACCAAAAGCACAAGCAACAAAGAAAACATAGATAAAATAGACTTCATCAAAATTTCAAACTCGTATGCTTCAAAGGACAACACCAAGAAAATGAAAAATAATCCACGGAATGGAAGAAAATTTTTGCTAATCATATATCTGATAAGGGTTTTGGATCTAGAACATGAAAAGAACTGCTACAACTCAATAATAAAAAGACAAATAACCCAATTAAAATGGATAGAGGATATGAAGAGACATTTTTCCAGAGAAAATATACAAATGGCCAATAAGCACATGAGAAGATGCTCAACATCATTAGCTATAAAGGAAATGCAAATTGAAATTACAATTACAATGAGATACCCCCAGGATGACTAGAATCAGAAAGGTAACAGATCTTGATGAGGATATAGAGAAACTGGAACGCAAACACACTGCTGGTATGAATGTAAAGTGGGGTAGCCACTTGGGAAAATAATCTGGCAGTTCCTCAAAAAGTTAAACACAGTTACCACATGACCCCAAAATTCCACTTCCTGGACATACACATAAGAGAATTTAAAACATACGTACACATGAAAACTTGCACACAAGTGTTCATAGCACCATAATAGCCAAAACGTAGAAAACAATGCAAATATCCATCAACCGATGGAATGGATAAGCAAAATGTGGTGTGTCAATACATCGGAACGTTACTCAGCAATAAAAAGAAACGAAATACTGACACATGCTACAACAAAGATACACTTTGACAACATTACGTTAAGTTGAAGAAGCCAGTTACAAAAGACCACATACTGAACGATGCCACTTGTATAAAATGTCCAGAATAGGCAAACCCATAGAGAAAGTAGGTTAGTAGTTGCCTGGGGCTGGGGGAGGTTGGAGGAAACGGGGAGTGGCTGCTATGAGTACAGGAGCTTCTAGTTGGGGTGATAAAAATGTCCTAAAACTGATTACGCTGCTGGTCGCACATATCTGTAAATATACTAAAAACCACTGAATTGTACACTTTAAATGGGCGAATTGTTTTAAAGCTCCTTGTTAAAAAAACACCTTAGAACACTGCCTCTCACATAATTAAGTGCAAAATGCTAATTTTATTATAGGAAGAAGAAACTCCTCCCAACACAAAAATGGGAAAAGCAAATTGAGTTAAGTGAAATTAGCCAAAAGATCACTTTAATTGAAGTAGTTGCTGAATATACATGAAATGTTCAGAAATAACAAGAAAAAAAGGCCTAAAAACGAATCATTCTATTTGAGATGTAGATGAAGAACTCAGGGGCCTTGCTGCTAGACATGAGGGGGCAGAGACTTTGCTCAGATCGAGCATCCAAAGACCATGAAACTTTCTTCCTCTGGTTTTGGAAACAGTTGTAGAGAAAGCAGGCGGAAAAATAATTCTGAAACCAGTTTGTTTCAAATATTATATCTATTTAAAACTCAAAATAAAATGAAGGCGTTGTCGTTTTGTGATAGTTTCATGTGAATGGGTTTTCTACCGAGATGAACAATTTCACAACCCCTGGGAGAATGTGAGCTATTCGGATTTAGAGACTGTGGAGGATCAACACATTGTTGCTAGGAGTTGTGAAGACTGCCATCCAACACACTTACCACTAACATACCGGCAAGAGTTTAAAGCAGAGAAGGGAATGAGGCTTGAAAGACAGGTAGGATTTTAGTAGACGTGTCAGTCCTCCTGCAAAGCAGAGGCCAGGTGTTGAGCTGGAGCGGCCTGTCAGGCACGACTGGAAGGTGAGGAAGGGCAGAAGCTCAGCTCTCGCTACCTGCTCTCCTCCCCCGGGTGAGCAGACATCAAGTCCATGCTTTTCTAATCTGGAATCATTTCAGAAGATGCCCTCAAACACCAAACACTGGTGTCTGTGTCCTTCCCTGGTGGCTCTCACCTCTACAGCAGCATCTTCATACATCCCTGAATAACAAGGCCCCACAGAATCACCCTAACTTTTACTCCCCGCACTCTAAACTCAATTTCATCTCTATACAACCTTAATGGAAAAAAGTTTCCAAAATAAGAAATACAAATATTCTTCTTTTATCTCAACAAATCACTGATTTTTCTTATAGCTGTAAGCTACTTCTACTTGGTGTATGCTTCTAATTCTCCTAGAAGTAAAGTATCGACAAACTGAAATTTAGTATTTTATATCAGGCATAACTAGCCAGATTGGGCTCAATAACTGCCATTGGTCATATACTCATATTAATACATCAGTTTCGGGCCGGCCCGGTGGCGCACTGCTACAGTGCGCCGCTTGGGAAGCGTGGCGGCACTCCCGC